AATAATCATTGCGTTTCATATACCGCCTTGTTACATCTTACAGACGTCTCAAAGCACCTAATTGAATATGCAGGAACAACAAAAATACGTTTTTAATTGTAGTACACTGAAATTAATTAATTGCATGTTTTTTCGGGAGAAATTAGGTGGACAATTCAGCTGAGCAATGGCGCTTGAACTATCTTGCATTGAATGATCAAATTTGTTTTAATTATTATATTTTTAAAAACCTTTGAGGGATTATTCCACTCAGCAAAGCAATCTGTCTTTCGACTGAGCGAGCTTTTCCCTACTTACTGCTATATAAAACGAAGGTTGCGTATGGAGTATTGAAACTTGACTAAGGTTTCTCCCTGTCACGCCCGAGAATTGAACCCAGGTCCTCTCGCTATAAACACTGAAATAAGGGATATTACAATCCAGCAGACGTGACATAAACATGTCGTGATTAACAAGGAAATTGAGGGTAACTGAGTGGCAGTGAGTGCTGAGCAGTTATTATGATGAACAAGAGGAAAATTGCTGACTGAACACTGGGGGTTTGTGTACGGCCTCTCCATGTAATTGTCTCACTGTGTCTCCACTGCACACAAGTAGATGGCGGCGTCTGTCACTTCTGTGCCTGTGATGCTCAGATTACTGCTCCTGTCTCCATAGTTTATTGTCGCTGTGATCCTCTCCTTCCGCTGCTCTCCTGTCTTTCCTGTTACCAAGTGTTTGAGAGCCTGGTTCAGATGCTGTCTGTACCATTGTAAGGCTTGAGTTGTTCCTTTTGCGGAACACCTGATAACCACGTTTTCCTTCTCCCCAACAGTCACAGAGAGTGGCGATTGGTAGACTTTTTCCTGACCACTGACCCCTGGTAAATGAAATAACATCTGTTAATAAAACTCACGCGCTAATTTTGGTCGAATTAAATACAGTGTCTCACAAAGCGCAAGCGGGTTTTTTTCTGTGAAACATACTCACCCCAGAGGAACACAGCAGCTTTCAGGAGGATGAAGAATAAAGTGTGTTCGCGCTTCATAGCCAAATGTTCACCGGTTTATTGAAGAAATGCAAGTTTCCTTTAAAAGTTAGACAGGTTTCCTTATTCCACGCCCCTCTGTCTACCGAATGATACGTAGGAAAACGTTTGTTTTTTCGATTTGCAGGTCCTTTTCCGGGGGTAATTTTCACTAAAAAATAATAATCACTCAATCCACGACTGTTTGAGAGTCTCCGCTGTGTGATATTCGTACTCGGGTTTCGCCCATAGAATACAAATTCACTGCACTTTCAAGTGTACTGTGTCAAGCGATTTGATGTGTCAGTGACTTGATAGGCGCTGTATCAAATGGCAAGTATCATTGTGATATAGTTAGGCGAAAAGGACGAAGTTTTCAGTGGAAGCCCCTGAGTGTTTGCAGACGGCTCGACAATGGCTTGATGTGTGTTGGCTTCACATCCCCGGGGGCAGCTCTCAAGTTGCCAACGAGCCATTGAGAGGGTTCAAAGCGAAAGGGGAAGAGCCAATTGACGTCAGTTGTTTCTCAGATATCTGTGCCCCAGTGAGTTCAGTATTTCCTTTCCGCTCTCGTCATCTGGGTTTCAGCCGTCCCCGCAAGTTTTCTCGTATAATTCACAGCTAACGTTATTGTGCTGTACGGTTTATTTCGGTGAATGACGCTTCATATTTTAACATTTATTTTTCACGCTCTGTGTTTCTGACTCACCGGGAAAACCATCACCACGATTTTGAGAAACCAAGCACAATTGTGCCTTATAGTAATAAGCTTTCCTGTAGATTGTCGTGACTGTGTTTTTTATGGACGAAACCTGGCAACCAATTGCTCACGGCAGCATCGCACAAACAGTTTCTGATGGAGTGAACACATTCTCTTTATTGAGTTTGAAGGAAATGTTACCCATTACTATTACCGATCCGCCAATCGATTATCAACCGGTATCCATCTTACTGCCACATAAACAGAGGTGTGTGGAGCAAGAAAAGTCAGTGATTGTGTATTTTGTGGATTGAACGCTTCAGCCAATTTCGCACAACGGTGACACACTAACAGTCACTTCATCGACCTTTTTTTTATTTGTTTAGTTAATTGTTGCTCCAGGAAAACCATTTAGCCAATCGAATAACAACCCAGTTCCTACATACTGCGGGATTAACAGCGTCGTGTGGAGTAAGGTAAATTGCTCAGCGTTTTCCCCGGCCGGGAATCGAACCCATTTATGCGAGACGAGTGCTGTAACCAATGAGCTGCAATAAACCTAACATGTTTTGTACAGGTCCCTCTTAGACAAGAAGCACTGTGCTCTCCGCCCAGAAGTAAGTGGCGGTGTCTGACACTCGCAGGTCTTGGATTGTGAGCGTGCAGTTTCTCTGTCTTATATTACCAAAGCTCTTATCCTGTCCTTCACATCGATCTCTCTTGTTCCCAAAACCAAGAACCGGATGGAGCCGTTTCCATGTTGCGTGTACGAATGAAAGGTTGGGCTGGACACAGTGGTGGTGCACTCCATAGATACATTTCCATTTTCATTCCCTATCACGGCCTGAGGTGACTGTGAAACACCACTTTCAGCCAAGGCAACTGGAAAGAAAGCAGAAATGAACACACGTGCAAAGGAATTAGGAAAGTGTCTGCCCCGATAAGCTGTAATTATTTAGCAGGTGACAAAGAATTTGTTTATCCAAATTCGTACACTACTTACACAAAAGCTTCATTGTTAAATTCCAAATAATATACGTTGTGCTGAAAATCTGCTTCATTCTCGACTCACTTCGATTCACGTCAATATATCTGGATGAATTGCAACCAGAAATCGTCTAAAGTCAGCGTCTGGTGGATAAACGTTTGTTCACTTGAGACGTTGACTCTTATCCCCGCGTCATTACTTTGTCTTTGTTCATTGCTGTAGATGTATTGCGACTCCTCCTATCGTTTATGTTCAGATTCCCTTCGCCTCGCAGCGGGAAACCTTAACGTTTGAAAGAGACAGTATATAGGGAGCCAGTTGCAAAGACGGAAGCAAAGCTTCAGTTAAAAATAACAATAATCCTTGCATTTGTTGTAACGCCTTATCAGATCGTTGAGACGACTCAAAGTGCTTCACAGAACATAATGTAAAGTTAATTGACTACATAATTTGTGGACGCAGAACTGCAGATAACTACCGACAGAGGTGCCCCACACATACTTGGCTACTTTTCTGTGAGCCACGTGTGGGACGGGTTGTGACGCTGTGTAAGTTAACAGAATGTTGATTGAATTAGATTTTGGCCTTACGCTCATTTTGATGTAGATTCATGTCCTACTGACATGAAAGGCTCTGTGCCAATGATTATTATCCTGCTTTTTGGGGAGGGGGAGGAGGGTATTCTTGGGAGTTTAACTGGCTCCAAGTTATTGTTCTGCTTATACACTGCCCCTTTTGCCCCTCCACACAAAGCCTCAGTCTCACCCTCTGTATTTCTCTCGCTCCCACACAGTGTGTCCATCACATTCAGTTTCTCTCTCACACACGGTCTCTCCGAGTCAGGCTGGACACACACACTGAGCCAGGCTGGACACACACACACACACACACTGAGCCAGGCTGGACATACACACACACACTGAGCCAGGCTGGACACACACAAACACTGAGCCAGGCTGGACACACACAAACACACTGAGCCAGGCTGGAAACATGCACACACACACACACACACACACACTGGGCCAGGCTGGACACACACACAAACACAAACACAGTCAGGCTGGACACACACACTGAGCCAGGATGGACACACACACACGGAACAAGGCTGAACACACAAACACACACACACACACACACACAGAAAGGCTGGAAACACAAACACTGAGAAGGCTGGACACATGCAAACACACGGAGCCAGGCTGGGCACATGCAGACAAGCACACCGAGTCAGGCTGGACATACACACTGAGCCAGGCTGGACACACACACACACACACACACAGCCAGGCTGGACACACACACACTGGGTCAGGCTGAACACACACACAAACTCACACACAGCCAGGCTGGACACACACACTGAGCCAGGATGGACACATGCACACACACGGAACCAGGCTGGACACACACACACACACACACACACACAGCCAGGCTGGACACACGCACACACACACACACTGTTCCAGGCTGACACACACACACACACTGTGTTAGGCTGGACATACACACACACACAAATATACACACAGATAGCCTGGACACACACACACAAATTGAGCAAGGCTGACACACACACTGAACCAGGCTGGACACATGCTCACATACACATACATACACACACACAGCCAGGCTGAACACACACACACAGCCAGGCTGGACACACACACGCACACACAGCCAGGCTGGACACACGCACACACACACAAACACACACACACACACACACTGAGCCAGACTGGACACACACACACACACACAAAACAACGTCCCACAGAAATATTCATGTAAAATAGTAATGCTGTGTTTGGCCAATAAAACATACAGTCACAACATTATACATTAGAGTTGATAAGGCGCTATATAAAATGTAAGGATTATTATTGTTGTTAAAAAGCTTGGAGATTCAAATTGGGTTTCTGTCCAGAGAAATGTAACGGCAAATTTCCTCTCCAGATGTTCTGCGGTTGGGTTTCGTTGCTTATCTTCCTATTGCAGTTAAATGTTTGAGCCCTTTTTGCAGAGAGGTTTGCGTGGGATGTGCTTTGTATGTGGCAAATCTGCTAACAAGGAATCATGACACTGGTTCAGCTGTTCGATAGCCTTCGTCATTTGACACCATGTCCAATATTAAACCTTTCATACGGCTTGAATTGAGCTGGTCTGGACAATAACACCTGGAGCAACTCCCTTTTCTTTCCCCTATATCTTCACAACATCTTTCTCACAAACACTCACCAACTCTCTCCTTCTCTATTGCTGAGCTGAGCTCTGTTTCAAAACTAGTCCAAACTGGGCAGAGTAATTTTGTTTTAAAAGTATTTTGTGTATTGTAAAGCTGGGGGAACCAGCGAGGAGCGCCTTGGAATAGCCCAGCTGGGAAGTGATGGAGGCGTGGGAGTATTTTAGCTGCTGTGGGGTGTGAGGTAAGGATTCAAGCGAACAATGTGATGGAAGTGGAAAAAAATGGTTCTGATCAGGGAATGAATGTGGGGTAGAAAGTAAAGCTGTTAGTGACAAGTTTTGCTCAATCTACTGATTAAGGTTGTATGCTTCATGTGCGACCTTCTGGTTTTCTGGCATAAGTGCAGTTTGATTCTCAATAACGTCTTGTCTGAAATATTGAATAATTCTCTGAACCACGATGGTGTGTTGAGGCGCGAGATCAAAGGCAAGGATTATTATTAAAAAAGTAGATTGGAAATTCAAAGCAGATTTACTGTCCAGAGTAATACAGAGAAAAATCTTTCCTAAAAAATTCCTGTATTTCTAATTATTTCTTATCCATTTGCAGTTGAATGTTTGAGCCCTTTTACAGGAAGGTTTCTGTGGTTTGTGCTTTATATCCGGTAACGTTGCTAAGCCAACACCATGACAGTGGTTCAGATACACATCAGCCTTTGCGATTTGCACCATTTCCAAAATTAACCATTTCATACAGCTTGAATTCAGTTGGTCTGGAATTTATTACCTGGAGAAACTCTTTCTCTTTCCCCTAAAGTGTTCCGGCATCTTTCACTACTGTTCTGAACACAGCACAAATTGGACCTCAATTTATCATGTCACCTGATTCTGAGATTTTGAGAGACACAGTGTGTGAGAGAGAATGTTAATGTGAGAGATAAGAGTGAGAGTGACAAAGAGGGAGAGAAAGCATGAGAGACATTGTGTGTGAGAGATGCGTGTGAATGATACAGATGGAGAGAGATCAACTCAGAGTATGAGAAACTCAGAGTGAGAGACATTGTGAGAGACATAATATGTGAGAGTGTATGAGAGACATTCTGTGAGAGAGTGTGTGAGAGACAGTGAGTGTGAGAGAGAGTTTGTGTGAGACAGTGAGTGTGAGAGGGAGTGTGTCAGAGAGAGTGTGGGAGGCAGAGTGTCTGAGAGTATTTTAGAGACAGTTTG